ATCAAGAATACACCTCCAGGATAGAGTGAGAGGGGGATGCCATGGCAACTGGCAAATGCAACAGTGAGCAAAATGGTCACCCTTGGGTAGGAGACCATGAAAGAGCTCGTCCTTTTGTCCCCCCCATCCCCACCTCCTCCTTCCCCCTCCTTTCTTGTCAGCTTTGCTGCATTAATAAAGCACACAGACAACTCAGGAAAAACAACTTTTTCTGTAAGCAGTCTCTGACGTCTTGATGTGCAGGAAGAAAAGATGAAAATTAGCAGCATGTGGGTGGAACAAAAAGGGGGAGAAAACACATGAGGTAGAAGATGATTATTTTCTAATTATTTAATATTCTCCTAATCTCCTCCCATTCCCAGCAAAGTGCCTTTACAGAAGGCTTTTAGCTGTTTCCTGAAGAGAACAGCTTGGTGGTTTGTTGCTTTGTGGGTTTTTTTTAATGTGAGAATTTGAGAAGAAAACGCTCTAGACACCCAAGGCAGTTCAAAGAAGTCACTCTCAAGTTTTCTCCTTGAAGAAAAATGCCTGAGAGCCCATGTCACTGCAGTGCTGACTGCATTCCACAGCAGAAGGGGAAAAATCCATGGGAGTGCCCTCTAGCTTCACTCACAGCAGAAAATGTTTTCCTGTTCCAAGTGAAATATCACATTCCCTGAGAGGTCCCAGCACCAGAGCCATGCTCCAGAGTCCATCTGAGCTTCTGGTGGGTGGGTTCAGCACAGCCCTCACACAGCAAAGCCACCAATGACCCCAGAAAATTCTGCAGCATGAGGCTGTGGATTCAGAACTGATCACCAGCCCTGGGAAAGGGTAAAACAGATCAAATCCACCAATGGCCCCAGAAAATTCTGCAGCATGAGGCTGTGGATTCAAACTACTGATCAGCCCTGGGAAAAGGTAAAACAGATCAAACCCACCAATAACCCCAGAAAATTCTGCAGTATGAGGCTGTGGATTCAGACTGATCAGCCTTGGGAAGGGGTAAAACACTGGTGGAAGGAGAAAACAAGACCTCAGTTACCTGTTCTGAACTAGAGAAGGGCAGGAAGAGAACTAAACCAGCACCTTTATATGACAACACTTCTATATAAAACAACACTTTCCTATTACAGAAGCAGCAAAACTTTACAAAATCAGGGATCACCCTGGCAGGCTGCCAGGAGCATGAAAGGCTCATTTGCATAACCTGATTGTGTTTGTAATAAAAGTCATTGTTTTGATTCTGCTGGTAGCTCCATGAAGCATCACTCCTAATTAGAGCTGACACTGAAATCTGCTGATGTGTTTTGACTGGAGGTTGAGGCAGGGAAATGGGGAAGCACCTGGAGCTTGGCAGCAGCCAGGGGGGAAGGTGGCCATGGTTTTGCTCCTGAGGAGGAGCTGAGTGAAGCAAAAGGTGAAAGGGAGAATTTGGGCAGCCAGAAGCAAGCAGGGAGAGCTCAAGGCCTGGCAGATGGAGCAGCAAAGAGCAGTTGAAAATTTCCTTTCTCTCCCCGACACTTCAGGGATGGAGCTGGTCCCAGAGCAAGGATTTTTTGGCTAAGGCAGCAGTGAGTCTTAAATAACTCAGCAATGTTGAAATAGCCCCTTCTCATGACATTTGGATGATATACTATACCTTGAAGAGCCAATAGAAATTTCAGCTCCTACAACACCACCCGTTACCAGGGCTTTCTGCAGAGTCCCAGCTCTCAGGGGTCACAGCCCAGGAGCACAGACTCAGTGGCATTTTGGAACTTTGCCTCTGAGCACTCTTGTATTTTTAGAGATGTAGCCCTGTGTGCAATGTTGATTTTTACAATGTTTGAAAGTATTTGTTTTATATAAATTCAGTTCTCAGGATCAGTGGTACATTAGATCCCAACACACAACCACTGAGTTTTCACTGTCTTGACTTTCAGCACTGGTGAAAGGGGTACTTTTAGTTCTAAGGAATTTAATATCAAGTCCACAGTAATAAAAATACCTTTTCAGATTGCAGGAAAACAGAAGACAGATGGGCTCTTAAACTAAAGTATCTCCATGTGCATTTACAGAATATTCTGTGCAATACAAAGCTCCATCCTTACCTTGTACTGCAATACCTTTCCCATGTCAATATGTCCTTAACAGCATAAAATGAAGAATTTCCCAAGAGCAATTTTAGGCAGTCAATGGAGGGGCTAATTAGGAATTCTCTAATTATCTGGAATGCTCAGCTCTGCTTTCTGCCAACATGTCCCCTCCCTGGTGCTCAGGACAAAGAATTGAAGTACAATGCCAACTCAAAATCAAACCAGCCTGCCTCAATCTTTCCTCCTCCCTCAACAAGGACTCCATTTCCAGGGACCATTAATTTCATATGAAAATCACAGTTGGCAAGACTAAAAATATAACTCAGAGCAACTGAGATGACTGCTTTGAGGATCTCTGCAAATCTTTTAGATAACATTCTCAGACAGAAAAATCAAAGAAAAGAACAAGAAACCTTCAAAATGCTGCTTGCTCAGAAGGTCAATTAATCTCCAGGGTAACTTTAGTTACTTGATTGCTAAAGATTCAGCCACCACCACTGGATTTCAGCCCATTTGATAGGTTGTATCAAAAGTCTTATTCACATTTAAGAATTTGAAGGGAAAAGGACAAAAATTGGAGGAATTACTTTTGGCCATACCTTTCTCCACAACAGCACTTAAAAATGTTGCATCACCACTCTGTAAATTGTGAACCAAATTGTGCTGAGGTTGATTAAAATATCACTAAAAAAATATTAAAATTGAATACTGAAAGAAATGTCCCAGCAATTTACATAGAACATAATTTTATATCAATTTCTGGAATTGATGGAAATCACTCCAATTTCTCCAGTCCTACAGGAGCACTGGCACTTATCATGGCAAGGTTTTGTACCTCTGAATTTTCTGCCTTATTCAAAGCTTCTTTCTCAGCCACTTGCCATGTTTTTAGCTGATTTTGCAGGGGATGTGCCTCTCATTGGCTCCAAACACTCATAAGAACCAGAGAGGATTTCTGAAACCAAGTCAAAGGGTCACAGCCTTGCCAAGCCATTAAAAAGATTAGATGTGCTCCCAGAAGTGCAAGGACCCACTTTGTCCAGCTCCTCTCATGACTGCTCTATTGTTTCCTGCTTTGCCTGGAGAGGTTTGAACATTGTTGTTAAATATTTAGGTTAGAATCTCTGACTGCTCTGGAAGAAAGTTGAAAAGGCAGAATTTAAGTAATGCCTAATTTTAGTAGCAAGTGAAAACTTTCCTAAAGAAACCATATAATGCCTGCAACTTTAAAATACAAGAGCCAGCTGAGAAAGGCACATATCAAGGTGGATTTTGTGCCTTTTTTTCCTTTTTTTACTGTCAATTTCTTGGGCTGAGTGACTGAAGAACCACAGGCCCTGCAAACCCACTCAAACCATCCAGGAACAAAGCATTTCCCCTGCTGCAGCAGCTCTGAGCATGACATCATTTGCTTACAGAAGGCAAATACTTGCCAATTTGAAATAAAACAGGATTCAGTCTGCTGAAAACAGACAGATGTCTACAAGAGTGGCTATTCCTGTGTCTCCACACTAATTCACAGTGCTGGAGGAGCAGCTTCACACAGCCTGCAAGATCCTGCTAGGAGCAGAGCAAAATGAGAGTGCAGGATGTAATAACCTCGTTAGCTGGGGCTGCTTCCTAAAAGGGAAAGCTTCCAAGTGCAGCATGTGAAGGGGCATGTTTTATTTCAAGTGATTTAACAGGAAATCTTATTGCTCCCAGTGCTGCTAAATCCTAGCTCACCTATTGTGTCTACTCTCAGGATCAGTTTGTGTGCAGGTTTTTCACCATTCTCATGTTTTGCTACATGCCTGAGTAGCAAAATATGAGAATGGTTTCACCTGGTGACTGCTGGAAGAACTGGAATGGCAGTGACACTCCCAGAAGCTTCAAGAAAGTCCAGCAAGGAATTGGGTTGGTAAAGGAGAATTTGGTGAGTGTTTTTTAAAAAGGTGAACACATCCAAAAAAGCAACAGCGACATTACTTTTTAAAGAAGCTTTCTAGCAAATTCTTTTTATTTTGAAGTCATAAATCACAGTGTGATGATGTCTATTTTTGCCCCAAAATAAACTGAAAAAGGTTTACCATGCTGAGCTAACGTTTATTTATTAAAAAAAATTAAAACCTGAAATACCAGAATACAAGCAAGCCAACACTTGTACTAAATACCTCTCTTGACATTTCTGTTCATTTCTATAGTTCAATGGAACAATGTTACTGACTTCCTGAGGGGCACAAATTGGAGAAAGTCACTTCCATGAAAACCTAATAAAGAGAAAAACCTCCCTTTCCTCTTACATCCTCTCCTATTACTCTGCTAAAAGATGCACCATACAAAAGCACATTTTAATTGAACAAAAATTAAGGAAAATACAAATCTAGTAAATAGTTTGGGGCTGCAAAATGAACACCAATAAATGTGTCATTCATCCAGTTTTCTTCTTGGCCTTGATTTCACATTAAGAACTGAGAAATAATGATCCATTTAAAGCTATTATAATTGTTTCCTGAGTAAACCCAGAAACTACAAGCTAAAACCAAACTGAGTAACAGTTTGTTTTTAACAGAGTTAAAGAAAATCTATCTGGTATCTCAGAGCAGAGTGCAATGCCAGCAAGGCAAGAGCTGATGAGGTTGGAGCCCTTAGGGAGCAGAGAGAAGTAATTACCATCCATGAAATGCTGGCTATGATGTGGACATTAGGGAAATTGTAGTATGCCATAAATATTTCAATTTGAAGATTGTTTAGGGTTTCCCCAAAAGCTTTTGGGCATGAAAACAATCCTGCAAGCCTGCTATAAACAGCAGCACTGACACTAACAAAGGGGTGATCTTCCTACTAATGCAGATGGCACCAACACAAGGCAAGCAGGCATTTCCAGGTGCTGCAGACACTCAGCAATAGATTTTGAGCCTGTACAGACTCACAAAAGCAGCACTCAAAGGTTTCAGAGCTTACCTGTTTCTGTGCTGATGCTCCCATATGCACCTGGCAAAACTTGACTGCCTGTTCAAGTGCTGCTTCTTCATCCACCTGAACACAGAACCACAACTAATGAAGTCATAATTACTTAGCTCATCTATAAATCTAATTAAATTGAGATGAAATGGGGATGTCGAGCATGGAAGCAGCAGTTCTACAGCAAAATGCTGACCTTAAATTATTCAGGAGCACATCCCCAAAGATAAATACTCAGCTCTCTCAATTCAAACTAACATTTCACTGAACAAACACCATGTAAGTGGTACTACAGCTCTTAACTCATTTCAGAAATTTAGTTTTAAAAGATGGAGAGTCCTATTCCCTATCCCCGGCAATGGCCTTGTCAAGGGAATGGTTCTTTGGGAAGGTTTCAAACAGATAAAGGGCTTGGTTCAGCAATTCCTGTTATATCCCAAAACCTGAGGCCACATAGACAAATGCCAATTAATCACACAATACCTGTTTAATCAGCATGTATGTTTCAGACATGATCTTCTCAATTTTGCCCAGGTCATAGGCCATGACTTTCTGGCCCTGCTGCCACACTCGATAAGCATCGAGCAGAAGTGTTTTTCCAGACTCCACATCCTCAAGTAATTTCCTCTTCCTGCTTGACCTCTGGACAGGTTCTTCTGTAGGTGCTGCTGGAATTGTTCCTTTAGCTGCCTGCTGCTGGTGTTTTGAGCTGATGCTGAGCTCCTCCAAGGAAAGTTCTGGAGTCCTGCTCTCGGGAGCCCTGTCCTTGGAGCTGCGGCCGGGCTGCAGCCGCTCCGGCTCGCCGCGCTTACAGCACGAATCAATTCTGTCAGGGTCACTGGGAAAGCCATCGAGATCCATGGGCTCAGCTGAACCAGGGCCAGGAAGCTCTTTAATCTCCTTGTCACTCCTGTCCTCCTGTTCCAATATGTCCATGGCATGGGGGATCTGTCCCTGGGTGCCTTCCTTCACTCCATTCTCAGCCCCATGCACTGCTCCGTCTGACAGAGCTGCCTTTTTGGGGAGCACATCTTTCCCCTCCTCTGCACTGCTTTTGTTGGACACGTCTGTTGTCATCCTTCCTGAAGCAAGGCTAGAAGACTTGGAACCCTGATCTTCTGAAACCTTAATAAAAGAAATCATCTTTCTCTGTTATCATTGAAGTCAAAAAGCATTTGAGCACAGCTGTGACTATCATGAATATTGACCAGTATCTTTCATTACTGCTTCTGCTGAAGAAAATGCATTTATTCTATGTTAATTCTTATTTGTTCCTCAATATTAATTAATCCAGGCCACAAATCTTACAATTAGAAGTATTTTAATAAGTGAAAACAACCACAGAGAAGTGTCAACAGCTCAGGCTGAACTTGAGCCACAATGTTTATTTTCCCTCACTACTTCAGTCCATGCTAAGGGATCCAACTAAATGAAATCCAAGGTTTTAACTGCACAAATTTTTCTTCTAACATATTGAAATCAAAACCAAATCTGTTTCTTTTGGCAGCTCCAGATCAAGCTCAAGTTTAAGACTCTTTCCTTTTGTTATTCTTACAGAACCTTCTTGTTAATAGATCAAGAAGTAGGCAAAACCCTGCTGTAGTATTTTACTTTTTGTACCTTTACTTTGGTGAAGTTCCAAAAGTAGAAAACCTCAGTACATCATCTCTTCTTTCAAAAATTCAAAATGATACAACTCTTACATCCAGATTTATGAGCAAACTATTTCATATACAGAGTTCCAGTGTTCTTGATCATGTTTTTATTTAGTTGGTTAAACCTATAGTCTGTTAACTTAGAAAACCCTTAGGAACAAGTTCTTCCTTGAATGTATGAACAAAGAAAAGTTCCAATATCCAGATCCCTTAACCTGGAAACTGATTAGCTTCTGTATGACTTTTAAAAACTAAATCTAGATTAGAATTATATGTAATAATGAGTGTGGTGCTGTCAAGGACTAGCAGTGAAAAGTGTCTAGGCATGTAGACTGTCCAAGCTGTCTGGGTTTGTCTTGCAAGAGGAATCTTAGTTCATTTTAAAAGGAATTTTCCTATAGACCTCACCTGAAAATGGAGAGCATGAACATTACATGTATCTACCATTATTTGAAGTTTAAGGGACAGTCAGACCAAACTTACTGCAATCTTGCAATTCTTACTGCAAACTGTATTTGTTACTGAAATTCAAAACCAAAAATCAACAATGCTGGAAGAAATTTTTCTGTGTAGTGGCTAGTAAACAAAAGGTACTGGGAGTAAGTGCTTAAAAATGAAATCTTTGAATCTCAGGAGATCTAAGGAAAGAGTGAACACTGCCAAAGCTAATCACTGATTGAGAGCCATGGGGTGCCCTGCTGCCTCACCTGGGTGAGATCGTTGAGGGTGTCCTCCAGCACCTTCACTGTGAGCACGAAGGCTTGCTGGGCCAGCACCTGGCGGTCGGCATCACGCAGGTACTTCCTGTGCCCAGCGAGAGAGAGAAAGGAATCAGCGGCCAAAACTCACAGTGCTCCAAAGCAAGAACCAGGGATGGCAAGATGTAGCTGGGCTGTGTGTTCTGTCCCCACCTGTCAGAGCTGGGGCAGTTCTCTGCTGTTCATGGGCAGTTTTTTCTTTCTCTCTCCCACAGCCAACCCTCCCTCCAGGAGATCTCTGCTGTCCATGGCCACTGAGTGTCCCTGCAGGGCTGATCCAATCCCAGCATCCCATGGGGAGATGCTCCGCCCAGGGGAGGAGCCAAGCATTCCTCCCTGGATCCAATCTGAGCCTGGCCCAGCACAGCAGCCTTTGCCCCCTGCATTGCCAGAGGAGCAGCTTTCTGCTGCCCTGCATGGCCAGAGGGAGCCCAGGCCCATCTGCAGCAGCCCTGGAGCTGCAGAGGAAAACTCCCCCCTTGTGCAGGATCCCTGCTGCAGCAGAGCCACAGCTGGCACTGCAGGAGGGCTGAGCCCCCATGGATGGGGCTGGGACACCCCCTGGCACACAGGCTGTCAGCCCCTATTCTGACTCTGTCACTGTTTTGTTTTCATTTTTTTGTACTATTGCATTTGTATTTTTAATTTTCCTAGTAAAGAACTGTTCTTCCTACTCCCATATATTTGCCTGCGAGCCCCTTAATTTCAAAATTATAATAATTCAGAGGGAGGGGGTTTGCATTTTTTATTTCAGGGGAGGCTCCTGCCTTCCTTAACAGACACCTGGCTTTTAAACCAAGACAAAGGACATTGAAAGAAAAACAAGAACAAGCCAACACAACAACTTGAAAACATAAGAAACAAACAAAAATCTACAGGTGCATACTGAAATAGAACAATATTGGGATTTAACACTTTAGCTTTGTTTCCCTCCCCACAAAGATGAAGCAGAAGACAGCTCTGCCTGCAGCCAAAGGCAAGGGGAGAAATGGGAAAACACCAAGAACAACCAAACCCAGAGCAAACCACACAACCAGATTTCGTTTTCTTGTATCAAGCCCTCTGTGCCCCTCAAATACCAGCTCTTTATTCAATCCTTTTTTTGAAAAAGAATCTTATAGTTACACAAAGCTATGTGGAACTCTCAGGTGATTTTCATGTTGTGGATAAAGCGTGCATGTGAGATTAGGGACATCAGCAAATCCTCTCTCTTTGATCATATCAGTTGCCTTTGAACTCAGGATTTTTAGCTCTAATAATCCTGGGTTCTTGGGTGTGCTGCTACCTTTTTTCCTAGTTAGTATTACAAAAAAATAATATTGTATGTATAAAACATTCACTCTGTAGCTTCATTTAATTTATTAGAGCACTGTAATTTCAGTGTATTTGGACACAATGTTTTAGTCTGCTTTCAAGCAAAACACTTCCAGCTGTCATTGCCACCTAATCACGTTTAATGGAAAACTTAATTTGTATTTCAGAATTAGCTGGTTTGAATGAGAGGCCTAGAAATCAAGTAAATAACTCTGAAGGGTACTATTTCAGTCAAAAGGCCAATATTTTAAATACACATATTTCCTCTCTATGATTTTAGGTTAAATTGGTAATTTTGCTCTCTTTTCTCTGAAAAGCAAACCATAAACATCTGACTCCTCATTAGTTCAGTAATAACTAAAATCACCCTGTTTTTAAAAATAGGGTTGTTCCAGGCATATACCAGGCACACCCAGAGTTATCTGTATTTCTGATTTCCTCTAACAACTGCACCTCACCATGGCTGGCACTGGCTGATCTAACATGTCAAATTATTTGTTTTTTGAATTCAGTCTAGACTTACAAATAACACAATATTTTTAGTACAGCTATGGGTTTGCTTAGGACAGAAATTGAAACCTTCTATGGTCCAGTTCTTCTGATATGTTAAAAGTCAGAGTATTTTTGGCCTCAAGTTTGCTGAACAAGGGGTGACATATTCCCAGACACACTACAACCCATGCAAATTCACATGCACTCACACTCAAGAACACATGCAGAAACCTTCAATGCCTCCAACTTATTGCCATCAATCATTCATGTTCCATTTCTTAAACATTTGCCAGAGACCAATTTCAACATTTCCCACAGGACAACCTACCAGAATTTTACCTCAGTGTTTTCCTTGGATGTTTATTTTGGTCTTCCCATTGATACGAGTCCATATATAGCTCACACTAATAGCTTCTTTTTTTCTTAAATAAGGTTAATGCAATTAAAATTAGATCACCTCTGAACAGGATAAGCTTTTTAAATAGCATCAGCAGCCAAGAGGCACAGAGGCATTGCTGAGGCCATCAGGGATTACAGCAAGGCAGGATGCTGGGCCCTGACCTCCCGCTCTTACGCAAGGGCCAGCACAGGGTGCCCAAGCACGCTCTGCCTTGCCAGAGAATCCCTCCACGTGACACAGCACACCTTGTAAGGCTGCTGGGCACCCCCAGGGCTGCTCTGAGCCTCAGCAGAAAGGCAGAGAAACTCCAGGCTACTTGAGAGAATCATAATCTTGAGAAAAATGAACCATCGTTCCATGTGGGAAATGGATTTGTGGATATAAAGCTCACATGGTCTGACACATCTGTATGTAAACACTGAGATAAAGTGTGTGGACTTATTATGGAATACAGATGACATTGTTAAGAGAGACTGAACTAAAAGCAAGTTTTAGTAAGTTTTAAAATATGATTTTGTAAAAAGACTAGATATTTTAGAGAATTAGAATTGTGAAAGATACATTGCAGTAGAACTATGTAGGGAAAAAATATAGGTAATTAGAAGTAATAATAGAAATAGAATAATAACAGTATTAGAAGTAGTAGTATTAGAAGTAATAATAGTATTAGAAGTAATAGTAGTATTGTGTAGTAAAAGTCATTAAGCTGAAAAACATTTATAAGGTATTGTAACTAAGAACTAAGTTAGTTTTGGATAAAATAGCATTGAGTTTTATATCTTTTGTGTCTGACTATTCATTGAGAATGATAATAGAATAAAATCTTTTAAAACTCCTCTCGGTTACCCCATCTCTGTAAAACCCAAGAAAACCAACAATTCCACTCTACTCCCAAGGGAACCTGTCTAAAGACTTTTTTCCCTAAACAAAGAAGAGCTTTAAATAAAACAGTCATACAGCGAACAAAACACACTGGAAAGCTTTCCAACAAACGGCTCAAAATGAGATCAATGTCCCGTACTTTCCCTGGTCAGGGGTCCTCTGCAGCATGGAGGAGACCTTGAGCAGGGTGCTGTAGTCCCTCAGCTGGGAGAGCACGTTGAGCAGCAGCACGATGGAGCGGTTCATATGCGACGCGAAACTGCCCGGCCGGTCGATCTCATCCACGGGGATGCGCCAGATGCCCTGCAGGGGGAAAGG